TTCAGTAGACAAATACACAGTGATAATTAAAATGGTGCATTGAGACAATGAATATTAAACAGTGCTCCCAAAAAATCAGCTATCAAGTCATTAAAAGACGTAAAAGAGACTTAAAAGAATATCACTAAGTGAAAGGACTCAATCTGAAAAGGCTACATATTGTATGATTCCAACTACATGACATTCTGGGAAAGCTAAAACTATAGGCACAGTAAAAAGATCAGTGGCTCCCAGAGAGAAGAGGGAACAGAGGAATAAATAGGCAGAGCACAGACGATTTTTAGGGTAGTGACACTATTCTGTATGATACTATAATGGTAGATACATGTCATACATTTGTCTAAACTCATAGAATGTACAACACTAAGAGTGAACCCTAAGGTAAACTACAGACTTTGCGTGACGATGTGTTAATGTAGGTTCATTGATCATAACCAATGTACCACCGCAGTTCAGGATGTTGATTCTGGGGGAGTTTGTGCATGTGTGGGGGCAGGGCATATATAGAAAATCCCTGTACTTTCTACTCAATTTTTCTGTGAATCTAAAACGGCTCTAAAATTAAAGTTTATCAAAAAAGTTACCTGAACACTCATTTCTTGTTTAGGAGTTCCAAAGGAAACTGTAGTTTGTACATGAGTAGAACTACGCACTCTCATAATTCTGTTACAATATTCTTATAACAGCTACTATGTCAACTACTGGAAAATCTATGACTTTGCACCTTTTAATAAATATACCAACCAGTGGCAAGACTGATGAGGAAGGAAGGGAGAGATGAGTTAAATTATATTAGGAATATGAAAATGAGACACTTCAACACATACCCTAGAAGATCATTCTTATAAAGGCATATTTTGTGGTGGACACACCCTAAGGTTACCTACAATAAGCCATACCCTTGTATAGTCCCCTCCCCTTAAGTATAAGCAGAACTTATGTCTTGCTCCTAAACACTAGCATACAGAAAAACTAAAAGGATGCTGCAGTTGTAAACAAACTCCAAATCTGGTGATTTGGGTTTAATCAAAAGAAGATCTGATTTAAAACAGGTTAAAGTTCTTAAAACAGAGACTGGGACCCTCCCTGAGGTGAGAGACTCTCTAACTGGCATTTAAGAAGAAAGCTGCCAAAAGTTCTTCATCAACAAAAAATTGATTTTGCCAACAACTCTAGAAAGCTTGAAAACTAACCTCTCCCCAGTTGATCCTCTGATGAGAATGCACCTCTGCAAACATCTTGACTACAGCCTTTGGATGCCCTGAGCAGAGGACCCAGGTGAGTTGTACCCAGATTCCTGATCAATGGAAACTGAGATAAAAATATGTGATGTTTTAATTCAATAAATTTGCTGTAATTTGTTATGCAGCAACAGAAATCTAATACAATTACCCAAGAGTGCAGAGGTGATTTAAGAATGATAGGAGAGGCTGGCCTGGTGGTGACGCAGTTAAGTTTGCACGTTCCACTTCTCGGCAGCCCAGGGTTTGCCGGTTGGCAGCCCAGGTGCAGACATGGCACCGCTTGGCAAAAGCCATGCTATGGTAGGTGTTCCATGTATAAAGCAGAGGAAGATGAGCATGGATGTTAGCTCAGGGCCAGTCTTCCTCAGCACAAAGAGGGAGATTGGCAGTAGTTAGCTCAGGGCTAATCTTCCTCCAAAAAAAAAAAAAGAAGAAGAAGAATAGGAAATCCTAATAAACAAATAGCCTTTTACAAACATAATCAAAAATGGTCCCTCTGAAAACAGAGGTGTGACACATATTATTAAATTTTAATTTTAGGAAAATAACTGGGATAGACATAATCTCATATACTATATAAATAGGTTGCACAAAGAGTAAAAATAGAAAGCTGTTAAATTTATTACTCAGTATAATTTGCCCTGTGGATGCAAGAATGGGTTGGTATTTAAAATTTATCATTGTAAATCATCACATTAACTGATCAAAGTTAAAAAGAAAAACTCTCAGTAGATCCAGAAAAGACACTTAATAAAATGTACCAATTATGATAAATCCTAGCAACTTGATAAATCTCTCTGCCAAGAATCAAAGAGAATCATACGGAAGGGGAAAAATGTAGTTATTTCCTTTACTGTAAGAAAAAAGCCAGCTTACTCACTAATATAGATCATAATTAGCAGGGTACTGAAGGTTCTAGCCAAAGAAATATAATGAAAAAGTTGAGGAACAAAAAGTGGAAATGAAAAGAAAAAATGTGATTTTCTTAAAAATCACATAATGATGCACAAAATCCAACAAAATCAATACTTACTCCTCCATATCTTAAATGTACTTAGCAGAGTAAAGTATCAAAATATAAAACTAATAGCATTCAAATGAATCAGTAATAAAGAATTAACGTATACAAAAGGGAAAACAAGAAAAGTTATCATTGAACATGATAAGCAAATTAATACACTATATGAAACCACAGCAGCTTTCAAAGCTAATGGAGAAATTTGCTAAATCTCACTGCATATCAAAACTTGATTCTATTACAATTTTTAAATCTGTGATATCAAAAGCATAATGGGTAATGTAAAAAAAGTTTTTAAAGAACTGGGGAAAGATATTTACATAAAAGACAACAAAAGGCTAAACACAAAATTAAAAAACAATGACTATCAAAAAGAAAGAGACAAACATCCCAGTATGAGAAAAAATAACAAAAAACAAAAAAGAGGGTCAACATAAGAGGAAACCAGAGGTTAATGACTATACTAATGTATCTAGAATTGTGATGATATTTTATTCTATTAAGTTAGTAAATATTAGATGTTCTCAAAATCCAATGTGTTGGCTCAGATGTGGAAAAACAAGAAAGACATAATAATAAACTGCTGATGGGTTTGTAAGTTTTCTAAATATTTAAGTGAATTTCTTTAACAAATGGTAAGATTTAAAGTACTCATTCCCTATACCCATCTGAGTGCCATAAGGAAACAAAGATTCAACGTGGCATTGCTTGCAAAAGCAAATTTGGAAAGAATTCGCCTTAAAAATGGAGAAGAATGGAGTAGGAAATACACATACATGATAATCTCATAATCTGTGTGTGCACAATCCTACCTTTATATTTTCCTGGATAATTTATGTATTTCATAATATAAGTGAATAATAGTGAAAGTCTTGTAATGAATTTAAGCAGCCATATACCTAAGTGATAATGTGAAAAAGTTCATTTACAAATGGGAGGTTGAATGACTTCATGAACATCAAGTCCCAAAATTCTCAGGTGCATAAATGGAACACAGTTTTCCTTTCAAAAAAACAACCTAATATTCAAGCTTGAAAAAACAGGAAGTGTATGTTATTAGAGTATAGCAAGTGATATGTGAGAATAACATGGGAACACAAAAAAAGAAATATATGTTAGATTTGCTTAGGAAAAGTGAAGGAGGTAAAGCTCAAGCTGAACTTTAAAAGACGTTGATAATAAGATCATATCACTCTATACAAGTGATTGGAATGAGAAGAACAAAGCTCTAAATGAAACCTGTAGGAAAACTTAACTTTATGGAGTACAGGATCATAAGTAGACACTTCAAAGGAGTAAAAGAAGTGCTCATTTATCACATGCCCAGCCACGCAGTAGGCACTTCACACATATCTGTTTCCTACATAAGCCTCATAAGCACATATTATCTTACATCAAGATAAAAAATTAGGCTTAGAGAATTTAAAATGGTTAAATAAGAAACTTCCCATAGAGACAAACATAAGCGTTTCCAGATTTTAAAATTCCTCTTCTAAAAACGAAGCTCAATAAACCTTATAAAAGTGTGGCTTCACAGAGGCAATAAAGAAAGACTCTCAGAAGAGACTTACAGATACAACAGAGAAGCACCAGGAACTTTATACAATTTGAGGGAGTGATGAATGACATTTGCAGTGTCACTGAAATAGGACGGAGGAAGCCAGTGTGTGTTCAGTCATAAAATGGCTGAGAAGCGAAGCGAGGAACAAGGAATACCGTGTGTGCTATTTTAAGTGACTGCACTTTGAAGGGAAGGAAATGAGAGAATGCTTATTAAAAAAGAACTATATGGCTTTTCCATCTGGGAACATTTTATGGATATTAAAAAAACGATGTTGTGGTCTATTGACATCATACTGGAGGTCTTAGCCAGTGCAATAAGGAAAGAAATTTTTTTTAAATGTGGTATAAAGATTGGAAGGCAATAAATCAAATTGTATTTCTTTTACAAATAATATGATAAAATATAAAAGAAAAAAATATACATAATCATAACGGAATTTAGCAATGGCAATATGCAAAAGTCAAGTTCTATATATGGGAAAATTAATTAGGAAATAAGACAAAAGATAATATTTCCAATGGCATAAGAAAGATAAAATGCATAGTAATAAATATAACAGAAGAGGAGCAACAGCCCTCCCCTAAGAACCACAAAATGTGAATAACATTAATTAAAGAAAACCTAAATAAATGTGCTATTCCAGGTTTAAGCTTTGGAAAAATCACTATTGTAAACTTCTAAATTCTCTCCTAATTAATGTATTAATTCAAAGCGATCCCGATAAAAATCCCAGCAAGTCTTAGTAAACCTGATTAGCTGTTTCTAAAATGTATAGGAAAAAGTCAAGAAAAGTTTGGGTAATCTTGCAGAAGTATAAAAAAACTGAAGACCTTCTATTCTCAGATATAAAGATGAATTATAAATATATAGCAATTATGATGGTGTATTATTAGCTGAGAAATAGACAAGGAGAATATAAGAAAGAGCCCAGAAATCTGACATGAAAAGTTGATGTGGGGAAGAATTTGGTTTTGGTAGTAAGCCAACTAGATATTCATTTGCAAAAATTAGAATCTTGGGGCAGTGGCAGGGGTGGTGCTGTGGTGTGTCCTGGGCTGGAACCCCGTGTGGTTCAGCTCTCCGGTACCGACCTCGGTCTCCCGCATCCTGCTCTGGCCCTGCCACCTGCAGCCTGAGCACAGCCGCGTCCCACAGGTGGGGACCGGGCAATAAGAGAGCTCCAACAATAGCAGCCCAGAGACTGAAACGCAACTATCTTCTGCTTTAAAAAGACCCGGTGCCTTACGTCTGTGGTCCCTTCCAATATTGCTGAATGGCACTACGTGATCTGAGGCCTTCAGATGACTCCTTGCAAAGGTGGCTATTATCACGGACAAGTAATTTTTCCCAGAGAATTTCCTTTTAAACTTCGTAGTATTTGTACGGTAACTCCCTGTGGAAGGTTTCAGTGCTGTACGAGGCTGCGTCTTCCCGTCATGGATCTCCATCCAGACCACCTGGCCTCGTCCGTCTCCACCCTGCAGACCAGGATCCTTAGCTTCCGGATGGAGAAGGGCCCCACTCTGGGCATTTAGAGACGCCTGACTTCATGAAAAGATAACTGGCAGCACATAGTTTAGCGTTTAACTCAAAAGACAAAGTCTTTTGTGGATAATTTCCTTAAGTCGTGGAGGAAATGAAACAAAAACAGAAAGCACGAGACAACGCAGTAGCAGATCCCAGACCCTCCCCTTATCAGACGGGGCTCCGGACGGGGAGATGCTCCACGGCCAGGACCAGCTTCAGCTCCTCAACCTCTCTGGCTTCAGCAGGCCCACTGGTCCCATGGCCTCCTGGGCTGGCCCTGACCTACTTGTCTGTCATGGTTGGGTGTGCAGCCTTCGCCTACACAGTCAGGTACGTGCAGAGAAACAGAGGCAGTTGAAAACAGGGGAACCTGGGCGCAAGCTTGAGGTGGGTAGCCTGGCACGCCGCACTGGCTCAGCCAGCACCTGCCAGCCTCCGGCGCCGGGGGGCGGGGGAGGGGGGGGACTTTTTAAAAACCTTTAAAAAGAAAACTAAAATCAAAGTGTGAAGTTTGGATTTGGAGGAAATACTAGCTTCTCAGCCCCCCTCTTCTCGCCCTGGGGTCTGTCAGGGTCTGTGTAGCTCGGGTGTCCATGATGAGTGGCCTCATGCTTTGGTTGTATAGCTTATCTCCTGTATTGTCTTTTGAACCTGTTTTAGTAAACCTGTTTTTCATTTTATTAGATTTAGTCATTTAGAAATATAAAACTTGATACCTATACCCCAATTTTTGTTTTCAGTATTACAAGATCACAGTTTAACATTTCTGAGTATTAAATGAAAATAACATTGGCTAAAGTACCTGGCCAACAGAAGGCATCTAATAAATGTTTGTTGATTCTCAAACTGAATGCCTTTGCTAAATAAAAATAGCAAATGCATCCATATGTAACTATTTCATAACAAACAATTGTAAACTATATCACAGATCCTTTTAATGGTGTTTCATCCTTAAGAGAACCATTCCTCAACCATTAGCAAGAGATTGCTTTCAAAATACTTTAAGGCACTAAAATAGATTGATACATATCGTATTTTCAACACAACGAAACGCAATGAGAAGTATTCTGAATAAGAAGTATATAAGGTAGATAAAATCACTTTTATAACCTGGAAAATACATACCTAATTACATCACTGCACTCACATTATCTAGAAGAAAATATATAGATGCTTATGATCACCATGGTATTGAGGTAAGCAAATATTTTTTAAAGAGGACATGAAGCAAAACAATGATAATTTGACCTACATTAATCTAAACAGCTTTTATTCATCAAAAGATGCCATTAAGAGAAGGAATAAAGTCTCAGACTAATTTACAGTTCGTATTACTGACAAAGAACTCATATCCAGAGTATACACAGTACTCTTACAAATCAATTAGAAAGAGACAGTGTATTAGTTTGCTAAGGATGATGAAACAAAGCACCACAAATTGAGTGACTTACACAACAGAAATTTATTGTCTCTCAGTCCTGGAGGCTAGAAATCCTAGATCAAGGTGTCAGCAGGGTTGGTTTCTTCTGAGGGCTGTGAGCGAGAATCTGTTCCATGCCTCTCTCCTAGCTTCTGGTGGTTTCTGGCAATCTTTGGTGTTCTTTGGCTTTTGCTACATCACATTCATCTCTGTCTTCATCTTCACAAAGCATTGTCCAGGTGTGAGTGTCTGTGTCCAAATTTCCCCCTTTCTGTAAGGACACCAGGCATATTGGATTAAGGTCCATCCTAAACCAGTATGCCAGCATCTTACCTAATTATCTCTGCAAGAACTCTCTTTCCAAACAAGGACACATTCTGAGGTACTGAGGTTAGCACTTCAACATATGAATTTTTGTGGGACACAATTCAACCCATAACAGACAGACAAATCATGTAAACATTAGAAAAGATTCTTACAAAATGATTCAGCTAATAAACATATGAAAAGGTACTCAACCTCATTAGTCAACAGGAACCCGCAAGATAAAATTATATTTTGGTATACAACCACTAGGATGGATAAAATGAAAAAGACTGACAATAGAAGGTGTTGTCTAGAATGTGGAGTAACTGGAACTCTTATACATTGGTGAGGGTAGTGTAAGTCAGTACAACTGCATTGGAAAACTCTGGCATCCTCTACTAGAATGAAGTATTCAGTGGTTCCATTCTCAAGAACGTGTTGTAGCAGTGCTGCTTGAAACAGACAAAAGCTGAAAACAACCCATTAACAGTGCTTGTGTGTATATTTTTACACATGTGTATATTTATATTTGTATATATGCATATATGTAAATATATGCATTTGCACGTACTTATATATGTGTGTATATATATGTATTTACATACGTATATAAGTTTTGTAGATTGATTTAATGCAATATATCATAATGAGAGGAAACAAACTTTTGTTTTAATGCGTCTTGAAAACAAGTTTGAGTAAAAGATGCCAGACACAAAAGAAGACGTGCAGTAAAATTCCATTTGTACAACATACAAAAACAGACCAAACCACTTACATTGTTAAACATCAGGGAGATTATCATCTTGGTGGAGAATTGTTAGTGACTGGGAGGGAACCTGAGGGTGACTTCTGGGGAGCTGGTAATGCGCTATTTCAGGATCTACCTGCTGGTTATATAGAGAATTCACTTTATGAAAACCCACCCACTTGTACACTTCTGATTTTGTACAGTTTCTGTAAGAATGTTGTACTTCAGTAAAAACTACTTAAGATATTGAAAGTTATTATCTACTGTAACGCTCAATATCACAAAAGACTCACAGGATAAGTGAAATATTTTTACGTATTCACTTGCAGAATAAATCTGTGGTTCAAATGAATAGACTTGTGTTTTTAATAAGAAGATGAACAAACATGTGAAACACGAAGGGATGTTTCTTTTAAAATTATTTTTGTGCTTTAGTTGCAAGAAACATTGGAATAAAAAAATTATACAATTTTACACGAGTTCTTCACAGTTTTTCCCTTCTTATTCTTATTGTATCTATTTTTAATGAATTCACCTTTTATCAACATAGAAACTATGCTTATAAATCTTGGGAAATGAACAAATATTCACTTACTAAAAGTACGTTATTGAACTTGGCCCATGTATTTGATATATTTATACACCCATTGACAACTTCCCTGTGACTCTTAGTTTATGATAATATTTAGATTTATATTTAGAATAATATTTAGGTTGCAAATCCAACTTCTGGACTCACTGATGAGGCTTTTTTTAGTTGTTGTTAGTTTGCTTACTTATTTTTATCTTTTAACCATTTTTTTATCTTTAAGTTGGTTTACTTGAAAGTTCTTCAAACCATTTAGGAGGTACAAAAAAATACACACAAATATACATCACTGGAGTTAGCAACTGACATCCAGAAATATCATTTCTTCTTCATTTTCGTAACCATCAGTATTATCTGTATAAATAATATTATGACCTATAACAACTTTTTAAATTCAATTGTATTATTATAAATACACTTCCTGAACAATGGAATCTCACTTTTAAGAAAATTATGCTTTTTGTATTTGTTTGTACAAAAGTCCTAATTTCCAATATACTTAGTACATCCTACATGCATTGCACACAAATATTTTTACCATTATTAAAATTTTGAATTTCCTCCTATTTGGGGCAACAGAAAGTATACTTGGATCTCATTGTACATTAGAACATTTACACTTAGCATCAGTTTTGGTCAAAAGTATCATATACCTATGAATAATTAAAAATAAATCTATAGACAGGAATCATACATACCTGGAAAAATGTGCACTTCTTCCTCCCTAGCCCATGACTAGCATTGATTTTTTCATATTTTAATGATGAGCCTGATTGCGATCTTAGAAGCTTTCTTTACACAATATTCTAGAAATAAATATGGAAAATTTAGAGTTGGCATTTAGATGAAAACATTATTAATTCAAACTTGAGAAAACTGATGAACAAATATTTTATGTTTTATTTTAATTTCAGTAAAATATGATAATAGCACATATACATTTTTATCCTTGTGGTTAAAAACTTCTCTTAATCTTACACTTTTTACCTAAAGTGCTATAAAAGTGCACATTATAAAATATTTTATAGTGAAGAGAGAAAATTAGATACCCAAGGCCCCCATTCTATTGTTGTATTCTAGAGTTTAGGATAAAAATTGAATTATAACTATAAATATATGTGGAATATATATACACGCATATATTTGTGTTGTATGTATATCTGTATATATAAATATATATTATATATAAATATGTGTGTATATGTGAGTATATATGTGTGTATGTGTATACATATATACACACACGTACATATCTCCTTTCTCAAGGGAGAAAGTGCACCCTCCCAAAATAGGATGCACAAACACAATCAACTTAAAACATAACTGGTGTTTTTAACTCTTCCTCTCCCCAGAGCCGCACATCGGTAGTTTATCCTAAGACTTAATTTGACAGCTATAGTTTTCTTTTTTCAACCATCTATTCTATATTTTTTTATCCTTGCTGGAAACCTGACAAAATGGGCTATTTCTTGGGGCAACAGTGACCTAAAACTACTTTTTTTTTTCCTGAATTGTCTGTGTCTAACTTGGTACTATCTCAGTAGAAGTAATTTTCCACCTGCCAAGTCTTTTGAGCAAAGGAGTATTAAGAACACTACTGATCCATTGGGGTCCCCTTTGCTCCCATTTTGTAGCAGCATCCCAGTTCATGCTTGGTAATTAGAATTATTCACCTTGGCCAGCAAGTACAATGACCCCTTTTCCTGCATGTTGGTTCAATGGTATGAGATTTCAAAAATGTTCGTAGGTGAATGAGGAGTCAGCCTCAGCTTCTAAACCATTGGAAATATGAATCTTTTCCTAGATGGAAATATTTGTCCGTTGAGCACTGAAACTTCCAAATACTCCAAATGATTTGACTCAGGATTTGGAAAAAAAGAATACCTTAAGCAGATAATTACTTGTAATAGTGAGAGGGCCCACATGCTTGTCTTCTGCCTAGTTCTTAGACCGGCTAAAGAGTAGATGTCCGGCTAAAGAGTAGATGTCGTTACATCCAACCTAGTAGGCCTGGATCCTATAACTAAGTCTTTAGTGTTTTATCCCATCATTCTGTTAAGCCTGCTCTTTCTAGTCATGTGTTCAAACTAATGAATCCTGTGCATGTGATCTCACTGTTATACTCCTCTTACCATAAAGTCAGCAGAGATATTCTAAGGGATTACATCTTGGTGGATAAGGCATTCTGTAAGACCATGAATGGTGAAGCTCTGCAGACAGGAAGGGAAATTTAATATTCAGAATATATCTAAACCCATGAGAACAAACCTTTGCCTCCTCCATGATTAAATAGCC